TTAAGTGGATTCATAAGGTCAAACGTGTCCGAAAGGTGGAATTATGCTTTAAGTTCTCTGATATCTCCCTGCCCACAGATGACAAAAATACCAAGAATTCTTAAATACCTCTGTTGAGAAGAAAAACTTGAACAGCCCCGCCTGAATCATTTTGTGAGCTGAGTAGTTGGCAGACAGTTGGAGAAGCTTTGCTTTCCTCTCCTTTACGATCATTCTCCAATGAGAGGTGATTTGGGTTCACAGCTATCAACAGCAGTTTACTACCCTCATTCCACTGACGAGAATTACAGCAATGACTCGACAGTTTTCAGAACGAGAGCAAATGTTACTCAAAATAGTTAATCTCCACTGAGAAGCTGGCAAAATTATAATGTTGGCGCTGCTCACAGTAATGTGCTTGTGAAGTAATGTAGTACCGAATTTAGTAATGCTTTATTTTTTATTTGAAAAAGAGTGATAATGAACCATCAACATTGAAATATAGTGTGTGCAAATGAAAATTATTTTGCTACACATTATTTATATAAAAATAGGATTTTTGTACTGACCGTAAAATCCTTTTCTTTTAGGGGACACAGGCAGTGTTTAAAAGCATACTCCTCCTTTATAATCAGGTTACATGCTTTACCTATATTTAGCATGATCATAGTAACAGTCACATTCCCTAGCGCCTCACCCTCATGCCTCCCTCCCCCTTACTTGTATTGCAGGATGCTTCTCCCTGCTGTCTTCTAGAGAGACTACAAGTGCAATCCGCCACCCTGGAAGAGGGAACCCATTACAAAGTGCACACCTCAGGAAAAGACCTGGTGGAAGGGTTTGCAGAAACCTGTGCATTTTAGCCGCGATGCATTGATCACAGTTGCAATGCTCTGCAGGCTCCAATGGAAAATATTTAATCAGTACACATTTTGTTATTACTGTGGGTGCATTTATTACATTTTTGCAAAAGGTGGACTATGCCTTTAAATTTTGGGTTTTAGTGCTGCCTACAGGCTGATTTGACAGTCTAAAAATAAAACTGTAGGTCATTCCAGGATAACCTCTTCCACTATCAGCATACCTCAGTTTTATAGCAAAGCATGATCATGAACACAGAGGGATGGGACCTGTGTCCCTCTTTCTCATCAGTTGAGGGACACAGGAACTCTAACTTCCCCCCCTCTAGCTATCCCCCCTTCAGTCTATCATGAATGCAGCTGCTAGACTCATCCACCTAACCAACCGCTCAGTGTCTGCAACCCCCCTCTGTCAATCCCTGCACTGGCTTCCAATAGATCAAAGGATAAAATTCAAAATATTAACAATCAGTTACAAAGCCGTCCACAACTCAGCCCCCGGCTATATCTCAACCTGGTCTCAAAGTATCACCCTAACCGTCGGCTCCGCTCATCCCAAGACCTCCTGCTTTCCGCTCCCTTGTCAACTCCTCCCATGCTCGCCTCCAGGACGTCTCTAGAGTTTCTCCCATCCTCTGGAATTATTTACCCCAACCTGTCCGTCTGTCGCCCACCTTGACTGCCTTTAGGCATTCCCTAAAGACTCATCTCTTCAGGGAAGCCTATCCCACCTCAACCTAACCGCTCAACCATCACGTTCTCAATTAACTCATCCCCACACAGCTCCCTCCTCATGTATTACTTCCCCCTCCCTCAGGGGCAGGGCCCTCCTTACCATCTTGTCTTGATTTGTATTGTGATTGTAATGTCTTCCCTATATCGTAAAGCGCTGCTCAAACTGTTGGCGCTATATAAATCATGTATAATAATAATAATAATAATAACTTTCAGCTCAAAGAGCCACCAGAAGGACTTGACAAGCAAAGCTGGCATCAGATAGTGGTGTGAACAGAAGACCAGGAGACAGCCCTGTAAATCTGGGAAACAGTTGTTGATGCAGAAACAGTTGCTTGAAGAAGTCATCACATATCTAGAAGAGTGCCCCTTGAGACCATGAGCTTGGATGATGGTCTGCCTGAGCCACCTAGAGGTGGTGGAAAGAGAAGCCAGTGCACTCTTACAGGAGCCATTTGGGACTACAAAAGGGAATCAATCCTCCTAAAAGAAGCAGTGTCTGAGAGATAGACTTGCACATCCAGACAGTAAAGTTAAATGTTCTTTTGGTCGACTGGAACTTTATAGGAGGGATGAAAGAACAATGCCCTGGTTGAAGTAAAAGGCAGAAACAGTCTTAGCCAAGAATGAAGTCTTGGATCTCAACACCTCTTTTTCCTTATGCAAAACCAGAAAGGGCTCCTTTAACGATAAAGCCACCAGTTCAGACACTTGCCTTGCAGAAGTTTTGGCTATAATGAATACTATCCTGTATCTTGAGAGTGGCGAGAGAAATGTCTCTAATGGGTTAAAATGGTGGTTTCTGAAGCGCAAAGTAAATCAGATTTAGATCCCATGGAGTCAGGGGGGAACGAACAGGAGGAGCCTTATGGGAGTGAGAGGCCAACTTTCTTTAAAACAGAATAGAAAGGGCAGAAACATGGCTCTTGATAGTGCTGGGAGCAGTGGTCCAGGACCAGCTTCAGGAGGAAGAGGATTTGTTACATAGAGAAATTCTAGGGTAGAAGCCCCAAGTCTCATGGAAGTGATGTATGCCTTCCATGTATTATGATAGACCTTGCTGGAAGTACCCTTCCTAGCTTTTAGCATTGTAACACAGATTCAGGGATCTCCCTGCCTGTAAAAAACCTGGGGTTCACCTGGGGTGAAATTTGGTATTTATCTATTTATTATTTCACTGGATATCACTTTAGTATGTTAATAACGGTTGCAAACACCTATATATTTTTTTGATTACACTCTCTTTTGGTAACACTTAATTACGCATTTGATAGTTCCCCTATTGGTGACCCCGAGCGCTGCACACCCATCTATACACAAATACCCAGAGCCTAACAACAAAAAAGGGCGGGCAGGAGGGAAGTTCACTCCTCTTCAGACGATCTCCAAATGCTGAAGAGAGGACCCCTCCTACTCAGACCACCGCTCAAGCCAGTGGTGTCACAAGGGGGGTGCGGCCCGCACCCGGGTGACATAATTGGAGGGATGACACCAAAATGACTGACAGTCATTTTGGTGTCACCTCTTCTAAAGAGTTGGCCATACCTCATCCCGCCGGGTGAACGTCCTCTCCTCTCTCTTACGGCGTCCATCACCAAAATAGCCACCGCTAGGCATCAATTAGATGATGCGCGATGACGTCATGCACATGTGTGTGCGGGGTGTCACCCGGTCTCAGCTCCAGGTGACACCCGGCCTTGGGACGCCCCTGGCTCAAGCTCCACCTAATCTTTTGACCTGGCCAATCAGGTAAGCGACCTTGTCCCAAGACCGAACCCTGGTTAACCCTTTTGTAACTCGTCTCCCCTATACACCTATTAATTTATGCCTTTGCTTATTTTTTTATTTGTTTTGCTTCAGGCCTTACTAAACAGCTTATAGAGTGCAGCAGTGACTATGTAGAGTCAATACTGCATGTAGAGTGTTGGGGTCAAGTGTACATAGGGTTGCCACCTTTTCTTCCATCGAAACCCGAACACTCTAGCAACACACGGAAATTTTCTTGGAAGAATGAGTTGCGGCTTTTTCATATGTAAATAGTGCCGCCCCTTCATATGTAAATATCACAGTTGAGACTATTTTCAGTGTGGGGCCAGTAGCCACTATCTTAATTTTGGTTTCTCCTGTGTGCCTGACATCTTGTGTCCGGGTTTCTGCTGCCATGAAACACAGGACACAGCATTCAAACCCCGAACTGTCCGGGTGAATCCTGGACAGGTGGCAACCCTAAGTGTACATAAGGTACAACATAGCAAATAGAGTGCAATGATCAGGAATATGTAATATACAGCACAGCTTACAGAGGGCAGCAGTTAGAATTATGAAACAATTTCCCTTACAGTGCTTAATAGGAGAAAAAACAGACCTTCAGAGTCATGAAGAAAACCAGGAAGTGGGTATAGCTTTCATAACTCTTCTGTAAGAGAACACAGTGATCAAAGGTCTGTAACTGATTGAACAGTTCCATAGAATCTGGGACAGTTGTGGGTTGTGGCTTATGAGTCACTGATCTGGACTCAAAAGCAATTTTGACTTTTCTCTGACTTGCATTTCTTGCATACTTGTCTCAGGTCTGTGATTCAAAAGTATTGAATCTAGACATAGGTAAGCAACCAGAATTCTAACCAGGAAGCAAACAATAGCAATTCACATAATTTTCAGCTATACTTCAAACCCATTTTTTCTGTGTTCATGCTAACATGACATTCTTTTGCTGCCATCTAGTGATCATTTATATTTTCTCTACTCTTTGCTGCCCTTATGAGACCTAATATAAGGCCATACTATTTCTTTATAGTC